ACCATTTTTATTTCTCTAACAAATTAATAATTTGACAAATGCTAATGGTGCTATTGTCTCCAAAGCAGTGCATTAATATAAGAAACCCTAGTCTTTTTTATGGACATGTTTCTTATATTAATGCACTGCTTTGGAGACAATAACACCATTAGCATTTGTCAAATTATTAATTTGTTAGAGAAAAATAAAAATGGTAGTACATGCTTCAAAAAAAAAGATTAACTTAGCTACTTATGAAGACAATAAACACCATATGTTATTTCTCATGCATAGGAATAAGAGGGAAAATTAAAATTGAGGATAGGAATTAGCGGGAAAAAATAGAGGGAAAATTATTATTATTATTTATTTTCAGTTTTTAATCATTTTTAAATTGAAATGACTTAACTATCCTCACATGTTATGCACATGGTCTCACTTAACGGAAATATGGATGGAATATATGAAAAACTAACGGTAGGGGGCAAATTGGCTAAAAAAATTAGTTTGAGTCCTTAATTTTCCAATAGAAAAGTTCAGGGGGGAAATCGAAAGTGAGGTGAAAGTTCAGGGGGTAAACCGACAGTTTACCCTTTTTATGTACTAGTAGTGTGCGTTAATTTGTAGCTATCTAGCTAGATCTTTATCATGGGGTTCTAGTCAACTTGATGGGCTAGATGTTTTTAGATATATACTTTATTTATCAAACTAGTAAACAAATTAACAATCATAGAATAATCATTTGAATGAATAAAGCACGATAAAGCTTCAAATTATTTCCGGAAAAATCTACGGAATACTGTTTCTTGTCCGAAATAGGTAGGATGCTGCCCGGTGACCGATTCCCTCTTTTCATCAAAACTTCAAATTCTTACAGGTATGGCCAATATTCTATTCATGATAGCAACTTGCCATCGAACTTTAATTAATTTCGTACAAATTTTTCCAAAAGAATATGTACTTTTGCTACTAAATTATTCATTAATTACTAATTAATCAACAATCATGTTTTTTTTTTGTATAGATAAATGTCACTTATAATGTCTGCGGATGAGGATTGTTATTTTACGTTGAAAAGTTAAAAACTTTGCATGTCATTATTGGAGTTAGTCTAGAATTAAGACGAATTCGGTGATTGATAAAAGGAATTCGGTCACTCCCTTGAACTGTTACCAATTTTTTGAATTAAACGTTTCAACTTCCTTCTTGATATTAAAATAAGGTTGATCTTTAGCAATAAAAGGACATATAGGGTTCTCGAGTATTGCCCCCATACTGCCATTCCAAGAAAATATTTGTATAAAAATTAAAGGTCAAATGTTCGTTTAAAAAAAAAAAAAAACTGCAAGGTAAAGGATGCATAAAATTGTATCCAAACGAAAAGGAAAAATTAATCAAATTGTAGTTATTAGGTTTAGTAGTCGTTGGGGTGAGTTCGGTGATAGATATAAATTAGGTCTAAGTTCGAAACTCTTTAATATAACAAAACACACACAAAAAAAAAAAAAAAAAAAAAAAAAAAACAAAGGTGCATAAATAGATTTCAGTAGTACTAGCAACATGAGGAGGTTTTCGGTATGTACATATACTCGACGGCCGAGATGCAGGCTCAATCTGGCCTACTTGTCCATGCTACCATAAAGACGTGCATGATTTCATAAATTCAAAATTTAAGCCACCCATGCCCCAATTGCAAAGTGCAAAGCGGCGGATTCAAGATTTAAATATTAAGGGTCATAGTGTTAAATACAAGTTTATAGATAGAAACAGAACGTGAAGTGTGTAAAAAAATTTCAGTTTATTCCATAGGTATTTCATTGAATACTTGATGACCTTGTTGTCGTCAACCAAATCAAATTGCGCACATTTCAACAGATATCGACATATGCCGAAACATTCTAATGATTGATATAGAGAGAATTTGTCGAGTGTTTTTAACACAATTTGTCGAGATATGCTTAGCAGACATTACATCAAACCCTTAGTATATGCACAAAAATGACTCATACCAAGCATTTGAAATGTCCGTACAAGGCCTTCACATGTATATTTTCTGCACTTCATATGATCATGAGACCACCTTGGTCTCTAAGTCCAACCGCCCCTGCACCATGATCCTTAATTCCTAATAAAAATAACTTAATTAGATCTCATTAGATTGTAATCCTTAATTCCTAATAAACGTAACTTAATTATATCTCATTAGACAGTAATATTATATGACATTAACAAATAATATGTTTTCTGTAATACTCCACTACCAGAACCCTATAGGGCAACATTATATTGTATTATATATAAATATGTAATCAATTTGCTCAAAAAGGTTCTAGCATCCACAAAGGACCTCTATTATTTAGTGCTTCAGAATAAAATAATATTCCAGCATCACAATAAGTTAATAGTTATTTGGCTAAATTGGATTAATGGTTCATGTGGTGAGAGAGTAATCGGAAGATAGCCCTTGTGATGAAAAAAATCATATTTAAATCCTTATGGTGAACTCTATTAGGATTTAAGCCCAAAATTAACATTTCTGTAAACTCTCCGTTAACCCAAAATTAACAATCCCACCCTTCCCCCAAAGATTTCATTGGATTTTAAAACCACGAAGTCTGTGTTCAATCTCAATTTGTCTTGCATTTTTCTCCCCGCGTCTCGTATTTGAATAGCTGCAACCTCAATCTTTTGATCAGAAAAGCAAAAGAAAGAAAATTTGTGTGAGCGTTGAGATAGGGAGTGCAATCAAAGTAGCAACATTCTTACCATAAAACAAATGGCACCAAAAAAATCCAAATCCATCTCCCATCCAAAAGAGAAACCCATTTTCATGTTTCTTCAATCTCCATAGACGCATCCAACAGAAGAAACCCATTTCCTTGCAAATGAAACCACTACGTATTTTGGATTTTCATCGCCAATTTTCTCCTCCTATTGTTTATAATTGTAATATTCATTTTCGTTTTGCTTTTTGCGAGCAGAAAATCACAATCCTTCTATAATATGACAATTGAAGGATCTTCTTTGAAATCATTTTTTTCTCAAATGGGCATATTTAGGGAATTCATTGATTAATGGACAAAAGATCTTTGAATGGAATCGAAGCATGGATCAACAAATTCATAGCCTTGGATGAATGATTTTTTTCTCTTTTGGTTATGAAGGTTGAATGGGTTAACCGACAGATGAGGAAAATGTTAATTTTGGGCTTAAATCCTAACAGAGTTCACCACGAGGGTTTAAATCCGATTTTTTTCACCACGGGGGCTATCTTCCAATTACCCTCTCACCACGGGGACCATTAATCCAATTTAGCCTAGTTAATTTTGTGCTTGTAGAGCTAAATTTTAAACATAAAATTTAAATTTGACAGTTTATGTGACATTTGATACAAGTTTTTCTTTTCATTTGATATGTCATATTATATTATTATTTTATTACATTAAACTATTATTAAAGTAATAAAATGCATTTAATAATCAATTTAAAAAAAGATTTGAAGTTGTTGTCAATTTTGCCAGCAAAGGTGAGAGCGGGCAATTCATGTCATGTCATATCAGATTTGACTTTTCGGTTGTAAAAACATTACTGATATTATTTTTTTTACTGTTAATGTTGATTTGAACATGATATCAAGTATTTATTACCCAAAACACATGATATATCTTATTGAAGAGTGCTAGAATTAGTAATTTCACATGCGTGCGTGAGCTTATTTTGTTCATTTATGCTTTTATATATATACATGCATGCCAACCTCAAAGGGAAAGCACAATTTGGTCACTTTCGCCAATTATATATGAGCATGAACTATGAAAGGTCCCTTATTCTTTTCCGAGATCACATGATATCTTCTCTTGTCTTGTCACCACCACCATTTATGAAACGAATTTTCAAGTTTACTTTCTGTGTGTGGTGGAGTGGGGTGGCGAGGAAGTAGTAGCCAGCAACGTTAGCAGGCTCGAGGTCTTGTTCCGATAAACGAAGCCCTCCTCCTCCTAGATTTGGAGATCACATGGTATCAGTTGCAACTTGCAATGTCGAGCCAGCATGGGTACGTATAATAAGGTGGTCCCATAAAATGGGGTATAAAGGTATTATTGAAAGAATAAACAAAAACTAAAAAATAGATTACGTTACTTGAAATTCACGATGAACCGATTATTTCTCGATTAATTAAGAGCAACTTGAGAAAGAAACAAAGGAAGAAAGATGCACTTCGTTAGGAGAAGAAAATTTAGTTACAGCAATGTCATCACGTGATTAATTCATCTTATAAACAGAGTCTAGTACATATAAAAAGACTGAGATAAAACGAAAATAACAATTTGACAGTGTCTCAAACTATCACAAATTGCAACATATTTTCACTTTCTCATGCATCTATATTATCACATTAGTCACATTAGCGTTTGTGTTGCACGTAAGTCAATTTTAGTATGTGAGAAAACTGTCCTATACGGTAATCCTACCCGATTTGCTCATTTCCTCTCTTGCCACCTACTTAAGAGAATATTCCGAAGTGAGGATTACCACCACTCGAGGGTGCTGAAGCAAAAAATGCAACTTTGGCCTAAAGAGGAACCGATTACCAAAGCCGGAAATAAAAAACAATAAAACGGGAACCAAAGCTTATCCATAACTAAAAATAGTAAACAAACGAACCCCAAAACATTTGGAACTTTTATCCCACTCACTTCAGAGCTAAACTGGATTACTGTAATTTGTTGAATATTCACTGACCAAAACCATTTAATAAAGCAACAACCTCCCAACCTCTCAGCATCCCTTCCTTTTACTTACTCCCACCATTCTTGCTCTGGTAAAAGTTAGAGAGAGAGAGAGAGAGAGAGAGAGAGAGAGAGAGAGTGCCATAAATGGCTCCCCAAGATTTCCCAGATATTATATTATTACTATCCTGTTCTTTTTACCCTCCTTATATTTGTTCTCTTTAATTATCCCCTGTTTTCTTCAGAGAACTTCCACTCCCACTGCCTCCATCTTTCCCCTCTTTACCTACTTCCCTTAGGTTTAGCTTCTCTTCCTGTTTTGGAACTTCAAACTGATGAAGATCCAGTGTGATGTGTGTAACAAGGACGACGCCTCGGTGTTCTGCACCGCCGACGAGGCCGCCCTCTGCGACGCCTGTGACCACCGTGTCCACCATGCCAATAAGCTCGCCTCCAAGCACCACCGCTTCTCTCTCATCCACCCCTCCTCTAAGGAGTTCCCCGTCTGTGATATCTGTCAGGTATTAACTGGGTTAGCGCTCGATTGTTACTATATATATCTTCCCTCCTTCCCTTTAATTCTCCATCCGGGAAAGATATTAACTTACTAACTGGTTAGCGCGCATGATCGCTCGATTTTCTGATTTGGGTTTCTTAATCTTGATCCACAGGAGAGAAGAGCCTTCTTGTTTTGTCAGCAGGACAGAGCGATTCTCTGCAGGGAGTGCGACCTTTCAATTCACAACGCCAACGAGCACACCCTGAAGCACAACCGATTTCTTCTAACAGGTATTAAGCTCTCCGCCACCTCCGCCCTTTACGAATCTCCACCGCCGCCAACTGTAGCAACTGCTAGTTCTGAAACCGCCGCTACCGATCTCAAAAAGCATCAACCTTTGACCAAGGAATCTGTATCCTCCCCCTCCCCTCCAATTTCAAATCCCTACCCACCTCCAGTTGCTGCCAAGAATTCAACTTCAACCGCTGCAGTCAACAAAGGCGGTGGAAATTTGGTGGGTGCGACTAGTAGCATATCGGAGTACTTGATAGAGACGCTTCCGGGCTGGCACGTTGAGGACTTTCTTGATTTTTCTTCTGCCCCCTTTGGTTTCTCTAAGGTTTGCATTGATTGATCTCGTTCTTCCCTACAATCTTTTGAAATTTCCGTCCAGAAATGATTTCTGCACACTTCTGTTTATTTTAGTCTCTCGATTCTCGTTTGATTTATTTCATCCTAACGACAATAAGAGAGGATGAGTTTGCGGAAACGATATGATTGGTCATCAATTAGTTAATTAGCCTGCTAGATCTGACATTTTGCATTTTTTTGATTGGTGATGGCAGGCCGACAACGATATGATGCTGCCGTTTTCCGATGCCTATCCGGGAAGCAATCTGAACTCTTTCTCATCGGAAAATATGGGGATGTGGGTCCCGCAGGCACCGCAAGCTCCTCCGCATCAGTATTCACAGGTGGGCGGTGGGTTCGTCGGGTTCAAAGAGACAAAGGAGGGTACAAACATGAATGCCGGCAAAAGACTCTGGATGGACGATGGCTTCACAGTTCCTCAGATCAGTCCTCCGTCTCTTGGCTCCAAGAGGTTCAGACCTTTATGATACAACAAATTAGAGTGGGAAGCGATTTCCGCACACTTTTTTCTCCTTCTGCGCTTTATGTTTTCGTCGCTTGATTCTCGAAGGAGCGCAGACGAAGAAAAATGGTGTGCGGAAATCACCCATTTAGAATTAAGCCTCACAAGATCCAATCCTTCAATCCTTCTGAAGTAAATTTTAACGCAGGGATTTCGTTTGTTTGTTTGTTTGTTTGTTTTTTTTTCCTTGTGGTTTTACTTCGGTCTCTTCTTCCCACTTTTGTATGAGGGGAGTTTTAAAGGCTTTCAACAAACTCAGTTGGGGTGCTTCATCTTCCTCTTCTCTCTCTCCCCCCTTTGTACTTATTTCGGAATGCAAGCATCAATGTAAATGTCAACTGCAACTTTCTGTGATTTTTCATTTGCTTTCTGTATCTGAAATGTGTGGAATTGGAGAAGTGAATAGATTTTCGGGAAATGGTAGGAAAGATTTAGTCGATATGACTGAAGAGTACTTTTTCGATAAAGATTTTAAATGTGTGACGGTTATATTGGCACGTCATGTTATAGATATATGCGTTATAATTTGGACGAGTGACATAGTTTGTTATGAATAAGATTTGGATGCCGAACATTTTAACAGGAGGTCTTGCTTACACCCAATTCTGGATGAACATGTGTTTAAGTTTTGATTAAAACTTGAACACGTGTTCATCTGAGATTGGGTGTAAGCAGGACCTCCTGCTGCAATGTTTAGCGACGAAGCAGCGTCCGTTTGTTATTGACCTAGCTAGAGTGGTGTAACATCACGCGGGGAGTGAACTTACACAATCACGCGGAATGAATTTATAAAACCATGCATGCTAGGGGAACTTAGCTAAGCCTGTGTAACATCACGCGGAATCAATTTATACCATCATGCATGTTAAAAGGAATTTAGAGCATGTTATAACATGAATGAACTTGTATCGACAGGTAAAGTTACGACGATCAGATAAAAGAAGTCACTAATCAAAGGGGTGACGTTGGAATGGAAGGTAGAGAAATTTTAAGTAGATGGTTAATGATAAAGAAGTTGACGTTCGGATGTGGAAAGATAAGTACAGAGAGGCAATTGACAAAAAACAAGCAAAAAAAAAAGTACAGGAAGGCATGGAAAGATGAATGAGGATTCTCTCGTGATCCTCTTTATGAGGATCTAGGAGATTTTTTAATCGTGTCAATTCATCATACATTGTGTGATTATAAATTATTTTAATTTTTTTATACAAAATTAAACATATATAGTACCTGATAAAAACTAACCGTACAATTTATAATAAACGGACACGATTAAAAGATTTTTGAATCCTCGAAAAAAAAAATGAAGAGAAAATCCTCATTCTAGAGAGATGGTCATGTTTTGTCTTGAGGCATTATGTTTTATGTCGTATGGGCAAATGCAGCGTCACTTTCATTTACAAAACTCGAAAGCTCGTTTGGTTTTGTCTTGGTATAATTAAAACCTCATACGGTCCAACATCACTGCAAACGCACTTAGTTTGTTGATTATATTACGCATCAACATTGCTTGCCACGAGTCAATTATTCTGTTAATTACAGTTTGATATGTATACATGTGGAATTAGAGTATACAATGAAGTGTGTTGTGTTTGTTGACGAGAGTGAAATAAAATGCATATAAGTTGAGGACACTCTCCCATTGGGTTCTATGTGCCTTTGCCTCTGTATACATACAAAATTAAATTCGTTAAAATCTCGAAAATAAAAATGTATACACACGTAACACTTTGTTTTAAGTTCAAAATCTGAATACATACAAATTTTATACGACATATCTAGTCGGAAATTGTTATTTTATTTATTTATTTGGTGAACATCGAAAATTGTTATTTGTATACGACATATCTAGTCGAAAATTGTGATTTGTTCACAAGGAAAAACCTCAAAGTCCAATCATGTATGAAATATCCACTTTGACTGGTAGTCCAAATATAAAAATCTTGGTGGATAAACATTAAACAGAAGGCTTTCTTTTTGTTTTAATTTTTTTTTTTGTTTTGGGAAGTGTGGTTAACATCGATGTGAAGTGTGATTAACATCGATGTGAAATGTGATTATGAGGAGATAAACCCTAGCGAGTGTCGACTGAATGCCAAATGAGGAGAGAAACCCTAGCGACTGTCGAGTGAATGGTCATTTTGTTGTGGGGTCCAGTTATTAGTCTAAGAGATCTCCAAGAATATATAAAAATCCTTTTGGTTTGGATATTTGAATTTCATGTAAAGCTAAGCTAGTAAATCTTCAAAACTTTTTTTTTCTTTCAAATAAACGGATATTATTTATACTAAAAAAGTGGAAGAGTGAACCACTTAGAACTACAGTCTAATTGTATTCCTCTTCATTTGTAAGTGAGAGGTCTTGGTTCGATTCTTATCAAAGATGAATTTGAACCACATTATTACTAGCCCGTTGTGAGGCTAAACGCACCCCCTAATACTAACCCTGCTAGCACAGTTGCACCTAAAAAAATGCTAGATAGACCAATTTTTTAAATCAATTTACGAATTGTGTGATGTGTTATTAATAGAAAATAAGCACATTAATCAACACTTATGTGATAATCAAATCATTAATAACCACATTATATGATTTACAAAATATAGTTTAGATAGATAGAATTCTTAGCGTTAGCTTTCTTGAAAAAATTCTGCGAGTTTAAATTGCGTACAAATTCTTGATCAATTTACACAACCATGGGCCATGTTTGCTTCACATGCTTATTCTGGCAAATTCTTATTGGACGGATGTTTATTTTTTAAACGGGTGGTTCACTTTTTAATTGACAAAGGGTAATGCTACACTTATTATCTCTTGAAATATTGGTAATCACACGTTTGAAAAAGCCCTCCTTGATTTGGGGGCTAGCGTAAATTTGATGTCTTTTTCAGTGTATGAACAACTAAGTTTAGGAGAGCTTCAACCAACTTTAGTAGTCTTACAACTCACAGACAGATTAGTAAAATATCCACAGATAATTCAGGAGAATATTTTTGTTCGAGTTGATCACTTCATCCTACCAGCGGATTTTATTGTGCTTGATATGGAAGTTGTTTCTATGCCTGAGAGGGAGATTCCGATTATTTTGGGAAGACCATCCATGGCTACCTCAGAGACTAAGATCGATGTGAAAGAAGGTCTCTTAACAATGACAGTCTTTGAGGAGACGATGGAATTCAAAAAATTTTATGCCATGAAGCAACCTGGGAAGGTATATGACTTTTCGAGTAGATACCAAAATTGTTCAAGCTTACTAGATCCTCAGATGCATTGGAGACATGCCTTACTCAAAACTGTGATGAGTACGAATTAGAAAGTGAACTTTATGAAATGCAAGCTGCACTTAACGCACTTCCAGCGATTGTTCAGGTCAAAAGTGTGCAACAAGTTCCAGGTAATCTTGTCCGAGGTCGCCAGCTTTTTGGGGAACTTCCTCACTTTCAGAAACCTTGTTCCGTCAGTCAAGAAACCTCTGAAGTTGGAACGCAAGCAACTACCCCAGCACTTGAAGTATGCCTACTTTGGTGAGTAGGAAACGTTGACCGTTATTATTGCTTCTAAGTTGACTAAGGTGGAAGAAGAAAAGCTTTTGAGGGTGTTGAGAGAGCCCAGGACGACATTGGGTTGGACTATAGCGTATATAAAAGGTATTAGCCCTTCCATGTGTATGCATCGCATCTTTCTTGAAGATGACGCTAAGCCAACTAGAGATAATCAAAGACGACTGAATCCCAATATAAAAGAAGTTGTAATCCCAGAGCAGAAACACAAACACAAGCAAATTAAAAAGGCAACCAAAAGATTTAAAAGACTGCAGCCACCTTGCTAGCAAGCGCACGCTCCCGCTTTTCAACGTAATTAAAGGGGAACCAACCGGCTTTTCCCTTGCATTCACCCTCAGCCCAACCATTGTTTGATACCTGCTCAAGGGCAAGAAAATTTAACCTCAACACAAAAGAGAAAAATCCGAACATGAATATAAGATGAAAACATGCAAGCTGGAAAGATGACAGAACCTTCCGGACAACAACATAATCCCCGAATGACAAACTTAACTCCACATCAGTTACAGCGTGGAAGGTGTACATAACCTGCAGTAGGCGAAAAGAAACAATTAGTAGAGACTAAAAAGTCGAACAGACTAAAAAACTTGGATACAACAACATTAGCATAAAGATACCTCTCCTAAGAAATAGTCCCTCAATTCTGTCAATTCATCATAGGTTTCAGAAGCAAAGCTACGGCTGAGATCCTCATACGATGGTGGTGGAGGTATAGAGTCCTCTGTAGGTGGACTAGGAGATGCTTCAATTCGCTGCTTTTCTGACAAAATCTGTCCCAACAAATAGTGTCAATGATCTCTGCTTAAAGTAGCAAGACACTAGAATAATTTACAGCCAAATGATTTGGGAAAGGAAATTGTCTTGCTGAAAGGAAGACTTTAGGATATTTCATACCTCGCCTTCAAGCTGATCAAGTATCTGAAGTACGTTCTGGTGATAGTTGCGCTCTGCTTCCACCTTGAATGGGGACGAAAAATGACAAATTTACAAAATTAATTTCCTTTTCAGTCTTGTAACTAGAACAGGCCAAGGTCTTAACACTTAAACAAAAAGGGGAGGCAATCCTTTACCATCGCAAGAAGCCGCTGAAGAGTCAATCTTTGTTGTTGACCTTCAACAGCAGCCATAGCTGCACTAGCTTCTTTTCCCAGTATTGCAACGCTAGACTGCAGCTCCTGAAGCTTGGCTTCAGCAGCTTCTAGTTTCATGATAATGTCAGCATTACCTGCTGAATCCCGTACTTTGGCCTGGCGTCTGGAAACATCTATAGCCTATCCCGGTGCGAGTTAGTATATATAGACAAATAATAAAAAAAAAACAAAAACCAAATTACAACAAAGCTTCAGGTAATGAAGCAATCTCAACAAGTTACATTAAACATCTTAAGATTTTGCGTTCTCTATGAATACCAATGCATGATTGTCCCAAAATGAACAAACACTTTTAAAAGAAAACAAAAAAAGTTAACCGAGAAATGTATGATCACCATGTAACATGTAAAATCACTTTAGTATAAAATTGGTAGGAAACAGAAGAAACTGCATATACCTGAGCTTCAGCTTCTTGCCGCATTCTAGCATATCGTTGAGCAAGATGTCGAGCATCCTCCAAGGGCGCTCCCACTATCATTGCTCTTAAAGGCTCTGCAACCTACACAGGCAAATTGATAAGCACAGAAAGAGTTATTATGCAAACCTATAGAAAGAAATGGTGAACCAGTTTGTCATATGATGCATAATAACACAAAAAGTAGTCCAGTTCTTGAACCACACGTGAAAATGGAAACAATTTTTACTGTAAATTTCTTTCGAAATGATCAAATGCACACGAAAATTAGTCAGTTGAAATTCCATTTGTATGAAGCCGGCCCTGGCAATATTTGATTTTTACTTAATGAGCCATTGTTAGTAATAATTTGACTTAAACCTGTGTGCCAAGGGCTTTAAGTAGAACTCCGCACTCTTTTTCCATTTGGGCCCGAGCTCTTCCAAAACTTAGTGCAGCTCTCGACAATGTGTTACCACTGGTGCAAGTCTTTTCAGAACCATATTTCCTGCTATCTTCTGATAGCTTGGTACCTGTTAAAAAAGTATTATGTATACCAACTGATAAAACCAACATGAATTCATATCCAAACTCCCAAGAAAAGACAACGCATTTCAAGCAACATACCTATTTCAACGTGCTTTGAGCCGGCCACAATGTAACCTTCCACTCCGCGGACAATTTCCTTTTGGTAATGCTGTTAAAGAAGAAGCAAAAAACGATAGGTAACACAACTAACGTGATGCTCGTTTAAAGCACAGACAAAAATAAGAGTAGCAACCTTGGCAGCACGAGTTGATATGTACAGCTTCTCGAGTTTCTGATGCTGTTGAAATTCATTTTCATCCGAGGCAACATTATCCGATCCCCCATATATGCCACCAGAAAATTGTTTGAACACAGCCTGACGGTGTTCACAAAATAACCAAAAGCAAACTCGATCAAGCTTCGACCAACTCTTATGCATTAATGAAGCATGGAACGTTGAATTATATGCCATTTTCGCTTGAAGTTTTCCGAAAATGTAAAAATTAAGCATCCAATTACATAAAAAATCGATAAGTAATTAGCAACACCTAGCTCAAAATTTCAGAAATTCATCAACATTGCACTCCAACACATCCCCAAACAGCTCAGAAATAGTGAAATTCTATTCGAATTCGAATCGATCCAATTCAACTCGAACAATTATATACATATTATTTCATTAAGCAATCTCAGTATCTCGCAATCAACGCAGATTATGTTCATACCAAAATCCATACAGAAATACAAATTCGGAATCAAACGAGAGGGAGTACCTGCTGTTGCTTGGCGACCTGATCTCTGAGCTTCCTGATTGCATCCATCGACGGTTGGTCGGAGCTCAGTTGTAGGTAGTCTCGATTTTTCAGAGTTGTGCTTCAAGACTTGATCTGGAGGCTGATTTGTCTGTTATTTTCCGTTAAATGACCGCCACGTCGCCGCCGTCGTGGTGCGATCACCTTTCTTTCTTTATCTTGAATTAAACGTTAGTCTCCCACTCTTCTTCATTTCATCCCTTTTTGTATTTATTTTATGTACAGCTTTTCATTGCTTTCTTTCTTTTTTCTTAAAATATAAAATAAAATAACGAGTAGATTACGGTTTAGTGGTATTTCTTTTCATTTGTAAGTGATAAGTTTTAAATTCGATTCTTGCAAAAAACAAATTTGAACAACATTATTGTTAGCCCACTGTAAGATTAAGCCCATATAAATCGTATCGTTTGTTAAAAAAAAAACGAAAAATATTTATATAGATCCATTGGGCCTTGTAACGTTAATAAGCCCTGCTTTGAATTCAGTAATTCAGCCCAGTCTTTTTTCAATTTTGTTCAGAGCCCATTTCGATTTCACTTTTTAATTTTTAGTCTATAGTTTAGAGTTTTCAGTTTTTACTTTTTTTGTAAATTAAAAACTGAAAATTTCTTTTTGTAACTATTTTTAGTTTTCAGTTATTTGAAAAAAATTTAAAATTGAAAACCAAAAGTGAAAATTTTAGGCCAAAATTTTAAAACTCCGTTTAGTTTTTTATGTTTTTTAAACTGAAAACGAAATTATTATCAAACGGTCTCTTAATTTACGAAGAATAAAATTGAAACTGGTGTGTAAAGAGAAGAGCACTATGTCCTAACACCCCAAAACTACATGGCAAGTAGGGGTAAACATGTGAACAGAAAAATCAGTGAACATAATCAAATCGAACAAGTCAATTTTGGCCTAGATTGGTTTTGTTTATTCCGTTGCAGAGATATTTTAAAGAATCTGAATCGTCACAAGAACGAAGATCTTCTTAAAAGTCAAGCAGTGAAGAACCAAAAGGTGTGTTTTTCAAAATAATGGCTCTTGTAATATCCATGAAATAGGTTTTATTTTTCAATATGAAATTATTGCTAGTTGTTTAAAGCTTCTTTTTAAGCCACACTTTAAAGTTGAAAAAAATGATTTATACGTGATTATTGTCTGATCGATATTTATTCTTACCCGTATTCTATGTTTTTTTTTTCATTTTTCTGAAGTCTCTCTGGCACAAAGCTCTTGAGTTCAGATTCTTGCTTCAGAAAGCATTTCCATGCCGTTTACTTGGTCCAACTAAGACCTGTCATGCTGTATCTTGTAGAATAGCCTCTTTCATAAACAAATCGATAGACAAATGGCAGAGGAAGACAAAGGTAACCACAGGTTTTATTTCCATGAAATAGCTTTTATTTCCTTCATAAACAAATCGATACACAAAGCATTTCCTTGTTTTTTTCATTTCAATCTAGGCCAAAATTGACTTATTGGATTTGATTATGTTCACTGATTTTCTGTTCACATGCTTACCCCTACTTGCCATGTATTCGGATTGCATTTAAAGCTTTTGAAATTGTTAATGATTGTATCCTCCCCACCTGGTATCCTAGTTAGTTTGCTGCTATGGATGTGTAGAGTGGATGAACATGATTTTCAATAGTGGGCTTGGAACCTAATGCTGGATGTATTTTATGCTATATTTGATGGCGTTGAACACATTTGAAGTTCAGTATCTAGTTGCAATGGGCTTTTATATCTCAAGCGGTTAAGAGTGCTTAGCTACTAGAGCAAGCACATTTGAAGTCAAATTACAAACTCATGTTGCGCTTGTGGACGAGTGTCGCTTCTTTTTTTGGGAGATGGAGGACCAACCTACTAGAGCAAGCGCAAAAAAGAAGCCGACAGTTGTGAGGCGCACCTTCCAGCCTCTCAGGCTGCAGTTATTGCTAGCAGCCCTCGTCTTTGCAATTGTGTAATCAGATTCATCCTCTTGCCCTTCTTTGTCTGAAAAACATACAAATAACATAAAATTTATTGGAAACGTTTTTGAAATGAATATGGACACACCTGGAAGTGTTTGAATGAAGTATAATTCAATGCAATACAACAACACAACATACTTGTGTCTTCTTCATCAGAGTCCATGGTGAGGATATCAATGTCATCAATATCTTCTATAACATAATCGCCAAGGAAGTATATTCCCGGTCTGCGCTCAAACATCTTCAAATCTCCACCGATAACAAATGGATAATTAGGATCGGATTTGGTGTTGTGTTGGGTACTCATCTTGTCTTGGTGCTCTTGCACAAGCTCGACACCAAACTCCTTTACCCAAAACATGTCACGTGGTCCGGTTATTACCGAAACCACCACTTCATCTCCACATTGTAATATTGTTTTATTCTCCATCTTCCAATGGCTCAACCATATCATATCTTCTACGTCACTTGGAATTCCGTAGAACTCTGGGTTATAGATCCACTTCAGACCCTTACTCTTGTTTCTCACTTTGATCATTATTGGACTAATAACACTTCTAGTAGAATAATTATTTGAATTTTCCTTTGCATAGGTAGCAAAGATGTTCAAGCCTCGAATTCTGTGACTAGCAAGTAGTAAAGGGACAATAAAAGATATCGAAGACTTGGTACTTTTATAGCTGAACAGGCCTGGAACCTCATTCCCAACAAAAAAGGTGCTGAATATACCATGTTGATACAGTCCCTATGTATTTGCCACAGTCATCACAACATTACTCAGTCATTTCTTTCCCATTATATATTTAAGACTTACGAGAGAGAGAGAAAGAGAGGCGCACCTGGACGGGGACCTCTTTTGGATCCCTGTTTGTGAGTGGATGACGCATTCGAACAGCTGGCATGGATTCCAAGTTGCACAAGCCCAAAAGTTTGATCATTTCCACATCAACTCTATCAATAGGCTCTAACTTGTAATAGCACTCACACTCAACAAGATTCCGGTTCTCATTGCAAAATACACGTGTTAGATAATGTTGCCCAGGGGAATGAAAAGTTATTTTTTTTAATGATATGCATTCTTTTATACTTAGCCTTTGGTGTACTTCCGGCAACCCCACAAACGATTCGAGCCTATCACAACCCTTGAAAGAGAGTTCATCGATCCTCCTCAAACCTTTGATGAAAACTGGCAGACTGCAAATTGGATTCGCATCCAAATGTAGTCTTCGCAAGTAGGATAGAGCACTTAAATCCGTAGAAAAGACATCATCAGAAAGATTGCACCCCTTCAGACTTAACTCTACCAAAGAGCACGGAAAAGAACTCAAGATAGTTGAACTTCTTTTTGGCCACAATTCACCTATTGGAATTCCATCCGTCTCAAGAACTTTCAGAGACTCCAACTTCTTCATCATCTCCACTGGAAACTCATCAAGATTTAAGCAACCAGATAAAATGAGTGTTTCAAGTGATTTAAGCATGCACATGTTCTTCGGAAGCATCCTAAGATTCTTGCAATCCTTCAAATTCAAGTACACGAGTCTCTCCAGGTTTCCAATGGATTCATGAACATTCTTCAGGCTTGTGCAATCTACAAGAATCAGTTCCTCTAGATTGGGGGAAAGTGAGAAGTCAATGGTTTCACTAAGGCCATGAGAATGGCTGACGTCAAGGATCTTCAACGATGGAAGAAACTGTGGAAACAAAGGAAAAAGAAAAAAGAAAAAAAAAGAACAATGAAATAAGTGTCTAACATAAGAAATTAGTTATCGAATTAAAGAAAACATAATAGTTCATTTTAACACATGGAGTTAGTCCACAAATAAAAAACTAACAAAATAAGGAAAATGAATTGAAATGCATAGAGTAACATACTTTTGTTCCTTTGCATACTTGTCTCAAGCTACTGTATTGCATTTCAAGAACAATTACGTTCTCCAAAGGAAAATCAATTGGTATAGAATCCAAAGGAAATTCAAGCCAACACAACCATCTTAATCCTGTAGGGAAATCTACATAACATCCATCCAATCGTACATGACTAAGATGGAGTAGTTGTAAATTGCGCATCCTTGCAAATGCATTGGTTTCCAAGACTATCTCATTTGTGTTTATTGGATTGTTTGCAGGATGGTTACGCATATCCAGGAAAAGACCTTGGATTTTTTTTGTACCCTAAAGGAAACAATAGAGACATTAATATGCGTAATTTTCACAAGAAGAAATACATATATAGACATAAAAGACATGTTTCTTACATTCTTTTTCCTCAATACTTGGAAAGAATCCTTATGGCGCCATAATCTACTACGTTTCTCAGGCTCTTCTGATTCTTGGCGAACAATTTCTCTTCCCATAGCACGAATCAAGTCATGCATGTTCACCTTGCCGTATTCATCAAGTGTCACCAAGCATCTATCAATGAGATTTTGAATGCCAATGATTGTATAGAAATCACATCCATCGAATATTCTAACAATGTAACTTTTGTTCCTTCCTATTAGGAAACAAGCAATGTGGAGGAATAATTTCCGGTCATGGTCATCTTTTAAACTTTCATAGCTTATTCTTAGTTTACTCATGATTTCACCATCAGGAATAACTTTTAGCTTCTCCAATGCACTTTCCCATACACCTATACGTCCTCCTGATAAAGAAGAACCCAAAACTTTTAGAGCTAATGGAAGTCCGCCGCTATGTTGCACTAGCTGTTTTGAGTGCTCCATGTATTCTTCTATGGGATGGTCCTGGCCAAAAGCATGCCAACTGAAAAGCTTTAATGATTCATTGTCATCCAAAGTTTGAACTCTGTGCACCTCGGTAACTTGATCTGCCTTTAACAACCTTTCACACCTAGTTGTTATTAGTATCTTACTTCCAGGATAAAACTGATCTTTCATCGTTAGGATTGCATCTAATTGGTCCATATGGTCAACATCATCAAGAACAAGTAGAACTCTTTTAGAGCTTATGGCCCTTTCAATCTTAATTATTCCCTCACTAACACTGTGTATTTTCACTTCTCTGCCGTTCAAAATATCACAAAGAAGTTGCATTTGTATTTGAACTAAGCCATTTGGTCGATCTGCTGTTTCCTTGATATTTTCAATGAAACTACTTCCTTGAAAGCTTCCAAAGTTTGAATTGTAAACATGTTTTGCAATGGTTGTCTTCCCGATTCCAGACATGCCATACACAACAAATATACCAACATCACTTGATCCATCTTGGAACCACAAATTGATGTGTTCGGCTTGAGATTGAATTCCAATCAATTTTGGTTCAACACTCAATGGCGTGCGACTTAACTTGTCTCCTATCACTTTAATAATGTTTTTGATAAACGTTGACTCGTACCTAAGAATTTGCAAACAAAACAAAAAATGAATTGGGAAAATTAGATAATTACAAAATAAAGGGTAAAGTGAATAGTATCAGGATTGACTTTTTAGTGTAAAAATGTGGTTTTTCGTTAAAATTCCCTTCAAACATATGTTGATTGCCTTTATTTAAATAAGAAAAAAAAAAGGACTGCTGACAAAATTAAATTGAAAAAAAAGAAAGGAATAGTGCGCATAATTTATACGAACTATAGACAAATACATGACATATCACATCCTAACTTTTTTCCACACCAGCTTTCAAAAAAATTTAAGCAACTGAAACCAGTAGATTAACATGGAAAATGACTAATCCTTAAGTTGAGTTGAGTGTGATTTCTTTAAGTTGACCTAAATTGAGATTATTATTCACTACTGAGATTGAATTAATAAACATATAAAAATCTAGGTCACTACGGATCATACATCAAATTCACCCAGGAAAGAGATGAGAAATGGAGATAATGAAAGTTACCCATCAGCTTGATTTTGTAAGACCATGCCTGCTAGGTCTGCAATCTCTGCAAGTGCCTTCCTCCATCCCTGCACCTTTTCCGGCGACTGATTTTTCTGGCTTCTAGCAAATGCTTTTCCAACACTTCCTGTCTGCTTCCTCACGTGGGACGGATCGACATCGTAGAAGACTGGTAAAACTACATGGTCCGAGGTGGTCCTCTTGCGTTCAAGGATCAGCACAAGCTCATCAAGACACCAACTGGATGACGCGTAATCTTTCGAAAACACGACAACAGAAGTTCGTGACTGCTGGATCGCTTTCTGCAGTCCTGGCTTTATATCTTCTCCTCTCTCAAGTTCATCGTCGTCTCGGAACGTAAGAAATCCTGCGTTGTTCAAGGCTGTGTAGAGGTGGTCGGTAAAAGTCTTGCGAGTTTCTTCCCCTCTGAAGCTCAAGAACACGTCGTAGCGAGAACTCCGAAAAGTGTTGGAATCAGAGGAGGTTCCTGGAGATGTTCTCACAAGAGCCATTGATGTGGATCGATGTTCAAACAAAAAAACTGGTGTTTGCTAGGTGCAATGCAAATGTCTGTGAGGAGGGGAAATATGTAATTGGGTCATTTCCATCAACTTCCAGAAAAATTATATAGATCGTTGCTCATCTTTTTATGATAAAATAATCAAAAGCAAACTCGATAAAGCTTCGACTAACTCTTTTTATGATAAAAATCATATACCATTTTTGCTTGAAGTTTTCCGAAAATGTAAAAATTAAGCATCCAATTAAATCCAAAAATGGATAAGTAATTAGCAACACCTAGCTCAAAATTTCAGAAATTCGGCAACACTGCACTCCAACACAGCTCAGAAATAGTGAAATTCTATTCGAATTCGAATCGATCCAATTCAACTCGAACAATTATATAAATATTATTTCATTAAGCAATCTCAGTATCTCGCAATCAACGCAGATTATGTTCATATAAAATTCCATTGAGAAATACAAATTCGGAATCAAACAAGAGAGAGAGAGTACCTGCTGTTGCTTGGCGACCTGATCTCTGAGCTTCCTGATTGCCTCCATCAGCGGTTGGTCGGAGCTCAGATGTAGGTAGTCTCGATTTTTCAGAGTTGTGCTTCAAGACTTGATCTGGAGGCTGATTTGTCTGTTATTTTCCGTTAAATGACCGCCACGTCGCCGCCGTCGTGTTGCGATTACCTTTCTTTATCTTGAATTAAACGTTGATGTGGATCGATGTTCAAACAAAAAAACTGGTGTTTGCTAGGTGCAATGCAAATGTCTGTGAGCAGGGGAAATATGTACTTCGGTCATTTCCATCTACTTCCAGAAAAATTTACAAACAATATTATAAAATGGGTCGTTCCCATCCATTGACCCAAAAAGCGTTTCTTTAAGTCATGGTCGGCCCATAGTGGCAGAGATGAAAAGAAAAAGAAAAGATTACTTCTTATTTTATGTGTGATTTTATAAATAACAATTATATTGATCGTTGTTACCTTTTTGTGATAAAATGCACTTTTGATTGCACAAAGATCTTTTCTGATAAAGTACAACACATTTTGATCATTGCTCAATACTCATTTCTCATCTTTAAATTGTTGGAACCATTTCTACCAATCAACCCACCAACTAGTGTTTCCAATATCACCATCAATAGCGGAGTTAGGAATGTTTTACCGGGTGGGCTAGTTTAAAATTTTAAATCTTTTTAAATAAAGAAACTTGATACCCTATTTCTTATAGTATCAGTTAGCTTAAAAAAATTCACAAGGTGAGCCAAAAACGTGTTAAAATTAAACAAATCCAAATTTGTACATGTACAAGAAGCGATGAGAAAAATAATGTAAGAAAAAGAGATGGTTTGCAAAGTGTATTATATAATTTTATATAGTTAAACCTAGAGAATTTGAATTAGCGACTAAATATTTGGTGGACTACATTCGAAAATCAATCTAATTTACATGTAAAATTTTATTTTTCACCACAAGCTACCTAGGCTGCAGCCCAGGGCAGCCCTTAACTTGGCTCCGCCATTGATCACCATGTCGAAGGTTTTTATATTCAACCACAAGATTATTGTCCTAAAGATAATGTGGTTATGAGACAAAAATTAAAACTTGATCGAACCGCATAATAATGAGGCACTTGTAATGTTCAGTTAGTTTCATAAGGAAAGTTTGGAAAAACTTGAATCTTAGTACATATGGATGAACTTAAGGTGGTTAATCAAATTGTTGTGCAATTATAGACTTGCTGTATAGTAACGAGATTCGACAAGTTGTGTCTATATCCTCGAGTAGGAATACTAATTTCTCATTATACGAAATATAATTTACAATGTGATTGCTCCTTTCCGCTAGGAGACATAATGATGAAGTCAACTTTCCTTTTTTATTTTTTATTTTTATGCATTTCCCTCTTTTCGTCTGCCTACCCTCCTAAGCTTCCTTCCCCTTATCCCTTCTCTTCTCCTTTTCTACTTTTCCCTTCTCCTTTTCTCTATTCTCCGAAATTTCCTCTCATTGTCCTCCTCAAGGAAGAAAATATCGGTGATATCGGAAATATCGGTAGTCCGAAAACACGGAAATATCGATGGAAATATCGGTAAAATATCGATATCGATAAAAATTACATGGAAACCACGGAAATTGTAAGAAAAACTTGGAAATTTGTATTGAAACTTTGTAGGATGTTTATTTAGTCAATTATCTATTAGTTTATCACAAAAAATTGGAAGGAAATGCATTGCATGATGGATTTAACATTATCAAGTTGATTATATAGCGATCTGACAAACATTATGAGTGTAGAAAATATGTAGTAATTAATGAAAGAAGTCTAAACACACCATAATCATTTATATATAATGAATTAGTACAATATTTTACACTTTAGTACCACATAGAGTTCCTATGAGGTTCAAATTTGTCACTATCTTCATCATCTCTATGTGTAGAATGAGTGTATTGTGAAGAGTAGTTATCAAATGATAAATCCCCAAAATAGTTTTGCATGTAATTGTTAATATGCCACCCATATGGATCCGAGATTGGTTGAGGTTGTCCATAAGAAAAATCATTTGAAGATTGAGGCTGGGATTGATTCCATGAGTCGCTCGATTCCATCCCAACAGGAATGGGATATGAAGGGTAGGGAAATGGTTGGTTATGAGTATAACCATAGTTACTACTTCCCAATCCAAAAGAGTCTGAAGTTCTAGATAACGAGTCATCTTCTTGACTTGACAAAATCCCTTTGCCTCTTTCTCTGCGAGTATAGTCCTTCCCTATGGCACCAATTCCTGGTCTTGCCCGCCTACTGCCATGGTCATCATCTTGTGTTGCATGCGTGAAGTTTGCCTCACCAGTGAAGGGGCTCATATATCCGGGAGGTGGTGGTCCATAATAGTTTCCATATCCACCACCACTACCTCCAGCTCCACTACCTCCAGCTCCACTATTTCCTTCATCATTCCCACCTCCGGTGGTAGGTGAGTCTCCTGATCTTGTACTAGAGCTATCATTAGTATCAGCACGATGTTGTGGTTGTGTAGGATTAGAAAAAGGTGGAATTCCAGTGTTGCTTGGCATTGGGTGCAAAAGTTCTTCGAAAGAGTCAGCGCTGCTAGATCCCACCTCCTCCTCTAATACTCTTTCTACATTTATCCCTTCATTACGTGCTTCTTCAGCAACTCTGGGAGCTGGGTTGCCTTCATCATCATCTAAATGAAGAGGTCTAATCCATTGAAAAAGTTGGTTACCCTCCATATCATCATCTTCACCAACAATATCAAACACATCTAGTGGGTCACCACGGTCGACATGATCGATTCTTGCTTCCTTATCTCGAATTTGAAGCTTCATGTTGTAGTAGCAATAAACTAATTTTTCCAAGCTACTATGAGCCAACTTATTTCTTTGCTTTGTATGGATGAGTGCAAATGTGCTCCAATTTCTTTCACAAGCTGATGAGGAAGCTGTTTGTGATAATACTTTTATTGCTAACTTTCTCACAGTTGGTGCATCGGTCCCATACATGATCCACCATTCAGCTACAATGAAAAATAATGTTGATAAGCCTAATAACTCCAACAAAAATTCTATTATAAAACTTATAGTGAAATATGTTTATACTCACTAGGAGACATATTTGTTCGAGCAGCAACTGATGTTGGTTCTCCAAATGTTCTTCTTGCATCTTTAAACCATGTTAGCTGAATACAATAAATTGTGTTAGTTTAATCCAACAAAGTAATTATTATAATTTAAGTAATTGTGTACCTCATTTCCAAATTGGCCAACTGCTGGTGATGCAGGGTCTAATTTAGAGTATACATTATGTACAGCACGTATAAGGGTACCATCATCTCCAACACCGGGTCTGTATTGGTATCGGGGATTCAAATAATATGCTGTTTCAAAGAAACACATACTCTAATAAGATAAATAATATTTATGCAACTAAAGAAATGAATTGCAAATTATGACATAATTTATACCTGCTGCATGCAAATCGTGGTATAATGTTTTATACCATCGGTCTTCAATTATTTTTACGACCCACCTTGCACCATGTTTTCTTTCCAATTCATCCTTCACTACACGCATCAACTCATATACAGCCCCCATAGTAGGGATACACTTCTGTGTCAACGATCCGTAAAACTTTGTAAAGAGGTTCAAACACTTGACACACATGTTCTGTTTGACTCCAAAAAGCATGATCAAGCACTATACTTTCCACCAAACGACCTGTATTTGAGCGGCTAAAATTGTGGTTGGCCTAATCATCACTGGTGAATAGTTGCTTCAACCCTGCTTTCTTCTTGAGTAGGCTGTTTAATGCAATATAGTTGGTGGCGAATCGAGTGGTAGCTGGACGAATAATTTCTCCTCTGCAAAATTCACGCATCTTTGCCAACAACCAACCGTGATTGTAAATATAAATTAGTGATCGTTCTAGCTCTTTTGACCACAGTAGCAACATTCTCTCTCTTCCCCATTGCCTCAAACATAAGATCAATACAATGTGTTGCACATGATGTCCAAAACACATTATGATGCTTCATTAACTTTTTTCCAGCTTTGACAAATGCAGAACCGTTGTCGGTCACGACTTGGACAACATTATGCTCTCCCACCTCCATGATTACATCCCTCAATAATTTGTAAATATATTTGTAATTCTTTATATGGTCTGAAGCATCAACAGACTTCAAAAAAATTGTCTTGCCCTTGGAATATACCATGAAGTTGATGATAGATAATCTGGTCGGGGGCCGGTCCATCCGTCACACATGATTGTGCAACCATTAGTTTCCCACTTTGACCTCAACTTGTTAACATACTCGCCAATGTCTTTATACTCCATATCCAAATATTTGTTTCTTATCTCATAGGGAGTGGGAGGTTGTACTCCAACACCGGCCTGTTGACATCCCACTACCATATTTTTGAAATGATGTGATGAAGCCTTCGCAGCAGGGACATTTTCATAGATAAAGAACTTGCTAATTAGACGCCCCATTCCCTCCTTCACATTACCTCCCTTGAAATAACTCCAAACACTCTTTTGACGTGCGTTGGATGACTTATATAAACTTGGGGCTATTGGTGGTGTTGGTTGTGATTCTCTAAGACTGCCTCCCCGTCTCATTTGTGCACCACCACTTGTCCCGGAACCTTGTCCCCTATTAGGAATTTTATGAAGGTGTTCTCTTTCCCATGCTGACTGTTTGGAGGCACGTAATGCTTGTTTCAAACTGCGTCGTTCTTCAGGTCCCATGTCATCATCACATTCGTCCTCATCGTCATCATCATCACTGTCAACCGCTTGGCCATAGACTTCTCCCCGTAGCTCAGCTCGAATATTTTCCATTCCTTGTGTCATCTTTTCCTTCTGCTGTTTTTTATTTTTTAATAATGTGCTGATGAATGCCTTCACTTCTGGGGGGACATTATCGCATCGTTGGACATTTTTTGATGGATCTAATCCACTAAGATGATACTTCAGTCGTGTCACTCCGCCACTCTTCATTACCCGACCACAATATTTGCAAATTGTGCCATGTTTGTTTCCGTCTATTGGGTCTCCATGTTCCCAAGCTGGATCACGTTTACTTGACATCTTAAATGACACGCCCCGACCCTGATATTCCCCGAATACCAGGACCGACACGTGCTGGCCGACACCCGGGGGTGACGAAAGCCATTAATTGATACAAAAGCTAAGAATAAGAAATAAATACAGGTTATGAATTTAAAAACAATGAATTAACAATTTAGGAACGTGTTCAGAGCATATAACTAAACCTAGTCACTAATAAGAATTAAGATAAGATTGAATGAACAAATGAGTGGGTCCTACCCCGAGAGGACTCGAAGATGCCGCTGCGGAAGTACCTTGTTGCCGGGGTTATGTGCCTTCATCCTAAGTCCTGAATGGGGGCGCAAAACAAGGGTGAGTGGACCAAGTTTATATACATACGTAGTACAAAAATAGTTATGAACATACTAACCCCCACAGTTAAGATAATGAAAACTACTAAATAATAAGTGATAGGTTTCTCAAAACCACTAGCATGCCATAAAAACAATTCATATATCTCTCTGCAAATCAATCTCATAAAATCATATCAGAAATCATATCAGAAATCGTATCAGGAAGCATAACATAAGTTGTGCTGCTAGTGAGTGCACTGAATAACAATACTCCCGGCCCAATGCCTGCACCTCAGTCTCTGTGCCCGTAGCCAGAGATATCTCCCTCCCGGCCCAATGCCTGTCTCCGTGTCCCTCAGCCTTTCGCTAGGGATTATTTCTCCCGGCCTCAATGCCAACACCAGATCCTCGCCCCAGGCGGCATAGTGTTCACTAGGTACGCACAAAACATAATTCATCTCTAAAATACAACTTCGTAGCATAATTTCATCAATCCTCAAATCAAATAATTCTGTAAGGCATGCTATTAAATTATGCAATTCTATCAATAAAACATGCAATTTTCGAAGGTGGTCCACTCACAGATACTCCGTCAAAAGCTGCGCCACTAGCGAAGACAGAAACGTCGCGATAAGTGTCCCTAAGTACAAGAACGTACAGTTAATCAAACTACCCAACAATATAATTCTAGGAAATGGAAATGGACCTTGGATTTGGATAGGTAAGGATCAAAAGGTGGTTTGGGCTTGAGCCCAACCCATACTCACCCACACACACATACATGCAAAGCATGCACTGCACACACACACTCTTGCATATATATATATATATATATATATATATAGATACATATATAAACACACACAGCATGCATTAGCATGCGCTGCACCCACAAATGCATATATATATATATATATAAACACACACACATACATATACTTACGCACCAGCACACACACACACATATACATATTCACACACTGCACATATGCACTACACATACACCCACACATGCACGGCCTGCACACTTACCAAACGCACACACTCACATGGACAAACACGCACAGACACACACCGAACCCACACTGCACATACATACGCACGAACATGCATACACACACACAGCATACATTCGCACATTTACACCCACCCATACGCAAAAAGGGCTGAACCAATATGGGCCTAAGGCCCGTGGGTGTCCTAAACGGCCTGAAGGCTTGCGAGCTGACCGGGGAAGAACACCGGAGCTATTATAGCTCCGGTCGACGACGAACGAGCATCTCAAGGTCCAAACTACATAACAAAATGAAGTGGGGAGAGAGAGGAGTATTAATGTACCCTTGCTTCACCGTGACACGGCCCGGTGTGCTCGGAAAATCCCTCGAGAGTCACGGGTTCGCCGGAAAGTTTGGGTGAGCTTTCCCCCACGATGGTTTCGTCCTTAATCTTGAAATAACGGGATAAACTTAATAATCACATAGATTAAAATATCATTCATAAACCCAGAAATTTAGAGAAGAAGGCATAGTTCACCTGGGTTCAAGCTTTGAGAGCTATGGAGCTCTCAACTTTAATGGTGCCGAGGTCCTCACTGCAGTGATATCACATGCAAGACCACCATCGTGATCCTTGCATCCCACAGACTCCGAATATGTAGAAAATAGGGCTTGGTGGTGAAGGTAAGTGGGAGGGTGAGAGCTCTCTTCTCTCGGGTTTTAGAGAGTGAGAGTTAGAGAGAGAGAGGGAAGAAACAAAGAAAGAGAGAGATGACTTTTCAGAAAAGAGAGAGGAAGGAGATGAGGTTCACGGGTTGAATAAACCTTGGGCTTAAGAAAATTAAAGAAAAACTCGGGCCTTACATTAAAACACAAAGGGATTAGCCTGGCCCAAAGTAAACTAGGTTATTTTTTGGGTAAGGGTTATAACATTAAATGTACCTATATTTATTTTTCATTAAAATTAGACAATTATTTTTTGATAAAAATAAGAGAACCTAAATAATAAAGTTATTCTACAGAAGAATTAAATACAAAGTAAAGAAAATGATTGTAAAAAGTTAAGTAATTATACAAATAATATGGAATAATAAAACCTAATATTAATGAATAATAATCCAATTTGATAATAATTCAATTTAATGAATAATAATCCAATTTGATAAAAAAAAATCCTAATATAAAACATGGTGATGAATAATAATCCAATTTGATAATAATCCAATTTAATGAATAATCCACCAATTTGATAAAAAAATTATCCTAAATTAAAACATGGTGATGAATAATAATCCAATTTGATAAATAATAATCCAATTTGATAATAATCCAATTTAATGAATAATCCACCAATTTGATAAAAAAATTATCCTAATATAAAACATGGTGATGAATAATAATCCAATTTGATAATAATCCAATTTAATGAATAATCCACCAATTTGATAAAAAAAATTATCCTAATATAAAACATGGTGATGAATAATAATCCAATTTGATAATAATCCAATTTAATGAAATAATCCAATTTGATAAAAAAATTATCCTAATATAAAACATGGTGATGAATAATATTCCAAATTTGATAATAATCCAATTTAATGAATAATCCACCAATTTGATAAAAAAATTATCCTAATATAAAACATGGTGATGAATAATAATCCAATTTGATAATAATCAAATTTAATGAATAATCCACCAATTTGATAAAAAAATTCCTAATATAAAAGAATAATAATCCAATTTGATAATAAAAAAACCTAATATAAAAGAATAATAATCCAATTTGATAATAAAAAAATCTAATATTAAAGAATAATAATCCAATTTGATAATAAAAAAACCTAATATTAATGAATAATAATCCAATTTGATAATGAAGATGGTAAGAGAAATAAAATAATAAATAATATTAAACATATTAAAATTATCCTAGGGAATAATTATACAACATTACTTAATTACTTAAAACAATTAATATTAACATTACTTAATTACTTACAAAAATTAACATAATTAACATGCAAGTAATTACTTAAAAAAATTAACATACGAGTGCACACAAATTTATTTGTTTTTGTATATAAATTACAATAATATAAATTTAAGTTTGTAAACTTACCTTAAATATGGAAGCCTTTGTGTTGCTTGGCTTTGGAAAGGATCTGGAATGGTTTTGAAAATGGTATGGGAAGAAGAATGTAAGTTAAAATTCGGTGAATGCCTCTGATGATGAAAGAATGTAAGTATATAACAGACATTGACACTGTTTTGCATGTGAAAGACTGTCACACGCTTTCATTATTAAAGCAGTAGTATTTGTTGTGCATGTTCTGAAATTGCAAAAAAGTTCTTTGGATCATTGGATCAGAGAGGTAGACATAGGTTTGGAATGATTTGGTTTTGAATAATTTGGAGCATTGGATGCTTTTTTTTTCTTAGACACCATCACTCAGACAGTCAAAAAGACTGAAGAACTCACACTCCACCACACACACACTTCGAGACCCCCCCACCACACCACACACGCACACCACACACGTACACCACACACGGAGGTCTCTCTCTCGATCTTTCATTTCCCACTCCACTACCATATTCTCGAATCCTCTCAGTCTCTCTCTTCTCTCTTTTCTCTCTGAGGTCGGTCTGAGCCTTCGTTCTCACCGAGAAGTTCTCAGTCTTCTCCCTCCCTTCCCCCTTCTCCAGTTCTTCCACACACACACAGAGACATCATCTCTCAAATCTCGATCCTCCTCGTCCGTGTCTCCGTGTCTCCCTGTCTCCCTCTGCTCCTCCTATCTCACCCGCCCTAAACCCAGCCGTCGACACCACTCCATAACCGTCCGTGTCTCCGTGTCTCCCTCTGTCTCCGTAGTCCAAGCCGTCGACACCACTGAGGAGCACGAACTTGTCCCAGCCGTCTTGGATTCGTGAGGAAGACGATGTTCCAGGCTCCTACTTCTCTTCTTCCCCTCTATTACTTTAAATTTTTGTACAGATTTCAATTTTTCTGCATGTTGCACCTTTGTTGTACTGAAATTGATTTTAGGGATTTAGGAATTAGGGTTTCTATTTTTGTACAGATTGCGATTTATCTGCATGTTGCTTGATTTTTGTACTGAAATAGATTTTAGGGATTTAGGAATTAGGGATTTAGTTCAGTTGCTTTGAATCCGAATTTGGGGATTTAGGGAATCGGTTCATTTGCTTTGAATTTTGTACTGAAATCGTTCTTCTCGGCTTGTAAACATGTTGAATTTTGTACTGAAATCGTTCTTCTCGGAATCCTGTATTGTAGATTCAGTTCATTTGCTTTGATTTAGCATTTGGGGATTTAGGGTTTCGGATTATTTGCTCCGGCCGTGTTCTCCGATGAGTCCATACCAAATATCGCGATAGTTTCGAAAATATCGCGATATTATCGATATTATCGATAATATCGCGATATTCTGCCGAAAACAAGTTGGATAGTTACTAAAATATCGGGGTCCCAAAAAAACGATAATATCGGCGATATTTCACCGATATTATCGATATTTTCTACTGTGGTCCTCCTTCCCTTTCTACTTTTCCCTTCTCCCTTTGTCCTTTTCTCCTTTGTCCTTTTCTCCTTTTCCTTCCCTCTACCCTCCAGAGTTTCCTTCTCATTTTCCCCTCTCCTTTGACGTTATTATATTTGGGTTGAGATGTGGACCTGTTATTGATGGATGAACTCAATGCTTGTTTGGGTCAAGCAATTAGAAATATCTCTTTTGCTCAGGTAAGTGATGGCACTAGTGGTAAGTGACGAGAGGGGACCGCGTGCAATGTTTTTCTTGATTGTTTATTATTTAAAAGTGGATGAATTTAAAAGTTGATGAATAATGTTACGGTCTAATGATATTTCTCTTCACTTGGTTTGATTCTCGTCAAATGTGAATTTGAACCATATTATTGCTAGTCCATTGTGAGGCTTAACCAACTCTATCTCTTTAGTGTAGATAATATCGTTTATTAAAATAAAATAAAAAGTAGATGAATAATATAAACTTGATCTACTTTCATATTTCATTTCAACGTTGAAAAGGATTCAACTTGGTGTACTGCTACTTTTGTTGATTATTCGTTACTTTATTTTATGAAAGATTCTTTCAAATAACTAAATTTTATTTTTAGAGGCGTCATTACTCATTCAATATTTACCACGATTTTCAAAACGTACATTACCTTTCTAATGGACGATTGCCACATTATGGGTTTGTGAGATAAAGACAATCTATCCCCATCCAGTTGATAAGAATGGTGGAAATAAGAGTAATGTTATTCATACCATATTTTTATACAACATTTTCATACCATTTTCGGTGGCATTTGATGTGATGTGAACTGACACATAATTTGAATTAATCAGATTTTTAAATTTAGTTCATTATTTAATAAACTAATAATTAAGAAAAATTAGTTAATTAAATGACGATTATGGTATACAAAGAGTCTTTCTCTTTCCTTTCCTTGGGTTTTGCAAATTTTTCAAATGATGTGGTTGTTTACATCAGATGCCACTTAAAGTGGTATATAAATATGATATAAAAACATGGTATGAATAGCATTATTCTGAAAATAAAGGATGTGGCCATACATGACATCCAAACTGTTAATGTCTTGTACAGATTATATTTTATAATTAGGATATATTTTATAATTAGGATAAATGGGCGCTTTACAAATTAATCAATGCACTGATAATATGGTAGCAAAGTCCTCTGTCGTAAACTCTAAATGTTGATGAATGTCTAAGATAGAGTTCACTACAAGAAAATAAGTGAAAGATTATCCTACACATTTGCAATTAAAAAGACAAATAACATGTGTACACATGATGTAGGATTTAACAAGGTAAAACTCATCACTGAGAAAATCCT